CAAAAATTCAAGATGGCCGCCACAGAGGCCAACTTTTTCATAAAACTAAAAATATTTCCGTCATCATTCTTCTAATTAGATCTATGTCTAGATCATAATTAACTTATATCACTTGAAAAAAACTGTAAGAAAGTCAAACCCCTAGAAAATTCCTCGTATCATGTACATCGCCCGGCCGTTAATTAAGTACCCTCAGTGTTTTACTTTTGGTAGAAAAAAAGGGAAAATCCGAACAATAGGTTCTAAAAGTTCTCTCATTTGTATTTTTATTAGTGCCAATTGACGCCGGCATCGATTACCAACGCGCCACTCGGTGGCAATTGACGCCCGCGTCGATTACCACCGCACCGCTCGGTGGGAATGGACGCCTGTGTCGATTACCACCGCGTCACTCGGTGCCAAGAGACGCCCGCGTCGATTACCACCGCACCGCTCGGTGCCAAGAGACGCTACCTTTTTATTAAGTTTTTGTTTAGATGTAGACTATATGTTGATACTTTTTCTGGTTGTTGTTTTTTTTTTTTGCGATGGGAAATACGTTGGTTAGCCTTGGCAACGTCAAACAAAAAAAAATAATTTTGAGGTTTGTCCTTGAACCACAGAATTCTACATTAAGTGTAGAATTCTGTGCCTTGAACAAAGCGGAAGAAAAATGCGAGTTTTCTCCCTTGGAGCCTTGGATCATTGGAGGAGGTCACCGGTGTCAAAGTTCAGAGAGGTGAACTATTCCGGCTGTTTCGTCTTGTTTGCTGATTGCTGTTCCTTTTTTTGCTTCGTCGCCAATCTCCTGCCTGCTTGCAACACCGGCGCTTTCATCTTTCTGAAATCCGCGGTGAATTACATGCGATTATTGTATCGCCCTCTGTTTCAAGTGTGCTCAAAAGTTTGTATCTAGATTTAGAAATCTACATATCAAGATCTGTTTCTCTTCGGATATCAAGGGGAATGAGCTGTTTCTATTCAATTCGAAAATTTAAGTCTCAGTTCCATCACCATGATCACGTCACACGTAGATTTCTAGATCTACAACTTTACAAGAGAATTGAATAGAAATCTAATCTAAATCTAATCTAATATAGATTTCTAGATCTAGATCTAGATCTGTAGATTCTAGATCTAGAATGCAGACTAAACCAAATAGTAGAAATCTAGATCTCGATATCTAGAATCTAGATTAGATCTAAAAACTCTAGATTAGAATCTAATTAGATCTAGAAGTCATGAGTCTGGAATGAAAGATCTGAGGTTGAGGCATGAGACTGTGACTGACCAGTTTCATGGTGGTGTCCAAAATCCTGCCTCCTGTTGCACCCAGAATTATAGGCCTACACCACAATTAGATCTAGATTCTAGATGTAGATTTACTCCCACAATGGCCATCATGTAAACAAACGGGGCCGCAGTTGTACTGGAGAGCCGAATCTAGAATCTAGGCCTTGGCCTTGGTATTTTGAAAGGTCGTCAATTGCCACCGAGTAATTGGAGCTCTTTTCTTTTGTGTTTGTGAGTAGATCTAGCCTGTATGTGCTTGGTGTTCTGCGTTCGTGAACTTGCGACGCACGCCTCTCTCTTTGCCCCTCTGTGTGTGTGTGTGTGTGGGGGGGGGGGGGGGTCTCTCTCTCTCTCTCTCCCTAACCCCCGTCCCCCGGATTTATGTTCCCCGATATATAATAGATATAAGATGCATATTTCTGCTTGAGTTTTTGTGCATTTGTGGCATACTTCTACTTCTAGAATCGCCTGTGTTGGTTCTACACCGAAGCTTATAACTAGGCTAGCGTACGTCTCATTCAAAACACGCCAAGTTGCAGTTCGTAGCTCTAGATGTTTGTCCAATGAAATTAGAAAACAAATTGACCCACTTAGACATGAGGAGCTCGAAAGGATAGCCAGGAAACAAGACTTTCTTCATTTTACTTGAAACAAAATCTTTCAAATGAGCTTGAATTTATGCAAAATGATATTCCCTGATTTAAATACGGAGTGTCTACGTACACGGTAACCGGGCACCGAGCCTCAGTGTCTACGTACACTGTAACCCGCAACTGGGCACGTAGTCTCAGTATCACGTACACGGTAACTAACTTACATAATATTTAATTCATTTTACCCTTGCACAAAATCAGCAACAAAAAGAAAGCTTACCTAAAAAACAAGGCAAAGCCATCAAAACAACACAAACACCCTTTACACTACCCACCCCCCTTTTTCAAAAGAAAACAAATACCCTTATGAATTAGCCCTACGGAGCCGTAAGTCTGAGATCAGCACTGGTTTGGACTTCAGAAGAGAAGGATTTGCTTTCTTCATTTTGATCAGTCCTGCCTATGCCGGTCACCTCTGTGTTATATGGCCACTTTTGTCCTTGACAATGGGTGGCCGTTTTAGTTTTACACAGGTTTGACTGTACACACAATGGCGTGCGTATATCGAACTATGATACCTTGCACGCAATTGCGTGTGTATAGTAAAATTTGAATTCCTGTGTACGCTATTGCATGCGTATAGACTCAGCCAGCCAAATATAATAGGTCCATGCTTTTAATTTTTAAACTGAGTGACAGCTGTGTAAGTCCAATGATTCTAGATCTAGCTCTTGATTCACCCAAATACAGACTGCATTGTCATTTACAGTCCACTGAATCAGCAGAGCGAAGTTCTAGAATTTGGCCCTCATCATAACTAGTCTAATGTGTTAGCCTATAGTCTATAGACTGATCTTTTGAACTAAATTATGTAAAGTTGAGCTTAAATACTAAAATTAAACTAGATTCTTAGTTCTAGGTCTAGTCTTGAAGACCCACCCCCCAATTCTAGTTCCAGCCTCACGAGTACACAACGCCAGACAAGTTTTAGAATCTGGCTTAGCCTATGATGTAACATTTTGTGTTAGTGTAAGACAAGGCCTACCCCTGTTCTGATAGATGTAGATTTTCTCTTCTAGAATCTAGTCCTTGACAAAGATAGTGATGTCAAGAGCTAGAATATAGGTCCTAGTGTTAAAATCTTAGACTTACAGACTTCAACATATGTTAAGGACCACCTTGAGAGACAGCCCTGATTTTTTTTTTAATCCGAAAAAAAGACAGCATGGAATGTTTCAAAATTGTTTGCTCTAAAAGTGTTGGGTTACCAGTGCGTATTGTAAAGCTTCCTAAATGGGCAAAACCACAACGTGAAGCAAGGAAATCCTCTGGGAATTTTAGCTAAATTTGTTGATTTTTATCGAACTGTGCGCCACACTACGAACATTCCTCAGTTAAAATTTCTGGTGCACGTGATAAAAGGACGTATAGTCTTAAAGTGTGCTCACTTTGGTGGCAATATAAGCCGCCGTTTGCGCAAAATCCTGTGTTGCATCAACATGCCACCAAGACGAAAGCTTAAAGACTTTGATTGTGCTAAAGCTATGGCATGGCTGCAGGATGGAGTTGGAGCTCGAGAAGTTGCCAGAAGGCTTGCAGTGTCACACTCTGTCATTGTCCGCTTGAGGCAGCGCCATCATGCCACTGGATCAGTCCAAGAACGCCCACGTGCAGGTCGACCCAAGAAGACCACTCAGAGTGTTTGCAAGCGGTCCTTAACTTATATTGAAGTGTGTATAAATCCATACATTTTTTACTACCGTCACTCTACTGTCTCTACTACTACTTCTTTTGTCATTGTGTAATGAAATTGGTCTGATACTATTTTATTTTCTCTCCTCATCTTGAGAGATTTGGAAGAACTGTGTGTCATTTTTGTAAAATACTATTCAGTTTGTACTTGATTGATGATCTGTCTTTTATTTTCTATTTGTGTCTGTTTTATCGTTATCTACTCATATTGCTCTGTTTTTCGATCTTGTTCATTCAGTATGTATTTTGAAAATTAGTTTTTTTAAAAAGACCCCCCAAAAAATGGACAAAATTATGATTTTTGAGGCCTGGTCTCAATCATACTATGTCATTTAAGTTTAAGATACATTTTTTCAATGTTTGCTGATCATAATCCTTTACTTACTCACTGCTGTAAATAAAACCAGCAAACAATCCACCAGCAGCTTTTGATGGATGGTGTATTTTGTGTGTTACTTATGCTAACGTTGTTATTTTTATTGTATTTCTTATTTCAAAGGTTTCTGCCATCACCAGAATGTCAAAACTTACCTTGGTTTCGTCAAACAAATGCTTTGGAGGAGAACAAAGGGTTTATAGCCATGAAAGGTAAAAGCATGGTTTGTAGCAGAGTGCAGGTTAAGTTAGATTGACCCAGGTTTAAATCTCGTTATAAGGAAAAGTTATAAAATTAAAATTAAAAGGGATTACTCCGCCTCCCAGACAATCTGAATTGAAGAATGCCGTACTTAGGTTTTGAGCTTTCGCCATTGCACAATAGTCTAGTATGATATACTACTGTACCATTTGAGTTGTTGGGGTGCCTGATCAGGATGAGCAGCCAGCATCTGTGGTGTAGCAGTTAGGCTCTTCACCATTGCACGCACTAAAACGTGAGTTATTTTTCTGAGTTTAGAAGTTTTGTATCGAGTATGCTTTCTGTCTATGTCGATGCTTCGTGTACCCCTCTCAGCTTGGGTTCGCCCTGACAACTGGGGTCAAAGAATAGTGTCAGTGGGTCGTGAAACTTCTACCGTTACAATTACATGGTGGGTGAAAAGCTTAGTTTCATTTCCTTTAAATTTTAGTTTGTATCTTTCAGGATGGGCCTCGGATAATACTAGTTCTGTTGTTTCCACCAGACTCAGCCAGGGGCAGAGTATTGGAGATAGTGTATACTAAATTCTCTCCTCCTTTGAGCTATTAACTTTTCATACCCTTTACAACAAAGGTTTCGGTTTTCAGTGTGACTGTCCAATTGTCCGACTGTCAGTTGTTCCATCTATAAAACTTTTCTAGAAAGTGGGCAACTGGCTGTTTGCCTCGATAGCTTCACGTTGAGTGTCATTTCCCTTCTCTTGTATTAGCATTATTGATTCAATTTTGTCACACATTATCTTCGAACATTAGCATGCTTTAAATAATTTTTACTTTTGTCCTCATTTTTGTTTGAATGAAATTGTTTGTATTGACCTTACATCTAATGGTTGATCTTTTTTTCCTCTCTACTTCTCACACCAGCTCTGAGGTCAACTGCACCATGAAGTTTGGTGTGTTCCTACCGTCAGACGCACTGGATGGGAAAAAGTTGCCTGTCTTCTATTGGCTGTCTGGTAAATATTTCCTCCTAGTGTTTGCAATGAATTCTTTTCAGAATATGAATTGTCATACCAGACTTTACAGAATCATGCAATGTGTACAGTTGAGCCTTGTCCATGACAGTCACCTGTAGAAACGACCATTTCCAGCTTCCTTCGGTGTGTTTTTCTATGTTATATTGACGTCCACGTGTCTAAGACAACCACAGTTCTCATTGACAATGGGTGGCCATCTTGGACTATTTTGACCGCAGTTGGTCGCTGCCTTAACTTCATAGCTTAGTGGTCAGTGGTGTGTCTCTCTTGGGCTGGATGAGATAGATAAAAGATCTTTGGTTACTTTCGGAGGAAATTTTTTTAAACGTGTGTTACGAACAATGAAGAAGTATATTGTCATACTTGGTGGATAATTTAAAATTCATATATAAATATATACATATATATATATATATATATACAAACAATGAAGAAGTATATTGTCATACTTGGTGGATATATATATAAATATGCAAGTAATATATTAGGTAAAAATTCCTCCTCATCCCCCCTGAAGTTTGGCCAAAACTTGTACTGTTGTATGTAAAAAAGTGAGGCACTTTCTGGAGCAACTTCTTTTTTCCTCTTATTTAACTCATCTCCGAGAGGGGGAAACTCACAATTCCGGGGCCCTGTTTTTGTACATACGATATCTAAAAGTGACATGTACTAAATTGATTATTAAATCAAAACATGTCAACCTATTTTGGTAGTTCTTTATCTAATGAATGGACTCTGGGTAAAAGAAACCTGTTTTCGACCATTGCCAACTGTTAACCCTCTTAGCGTTAAGCCATTTTTACTAATTCCCTTCAGTACTGGGTTTATTTTAGAAAAATGCTAATTTTCAACATGGTTATAAAAAAAGCTTATTTATCATAATTTTTAATTGCAGTAAGAAGGAAAAATGTGTCTGAAATAATGAACTACCCTTATGTCTGGTTAACTGTGGTTTTTATGATGATGTTGTTGTTGGTATTTTTAGTCCAGCCTGCTTGGAGATCAGCAGGAATATCGATATATCCCCTTTTGAGCTTAACCTCGCTAGACCTACGACACGATATATCCCTGTCATTCACACCTAAATCTTTTATTTGAGGACCTAATCCTTAAAACTCTTCATCACTGTTGTCCGATTCCAGAAAAATGTTGAGCAAATCTGTGTCTAAATCAGCTGAGGAATCAGACATTTTGAAAACTAAACAATATCCTAGAAAATTGTCTAGAAAAAACTCAGAACTGATCACTGACTGCCAAATGCACGGCCAACGGCACTAATAAATGTTGCACTGGTTGACTGTTGTCCCCAGTCATTTAAAAAATGGCTATTCTCATGTCAGCAGTATAGTTTCTACTCTCATGTCGGATCATGATGCGCACGAAAGGGAAGTATGAGTCATCACGTCAGGATGCACACGCAGAGGGTTAATTTGACATCAAAGTCGTTGTAAAGGAATGTTCCGGACCACTCACTGGCACAGCGGAAAGTGACGCTTTTTTTGCATAATGCAACAAAAGGGTTAGAAAGTATCCAAAAGTTGAGGATTTTGAATGTGATCTTTAAAAAAATATTACGGGCATGAAAAAAAATGGTTAAAAAAAATTCTATAGCAAAACGTAAAAAACTAACCAGCCCACTACTAGTACAAACTATTTTTCTAACTACATACCAAATTTCAAGTCTCTGTTTTGGAAAATTTTAAAAATGGTGGAGAAAGGAGAAAAAACCGGAATATGCAAGTGTAAAGTGGTGAAAAAATGTGTTTTGAGATAAACAAGTTTAACTTCGAAAATGTTAGTACACAACTTAGAACCCAGTAAAATTGAATTCTGTTAATGTTACTCACTCAGTGACTTTTGTCAATAAAATCTAGACTGAGGGATTGGAAAATACCAAAAGTAAAAAGTTCTCAGATGGAGTGAAAATCAGTCCCAGAGGCCCTAGACCCGACCAGCGAGCCCCCTTAATTTTAAAGATAAGAACCCAACAGAGATTTCATCCTATAACAAATTCCAACGAAGCCTTACATCATGTTTAAAAACAAGGTCGCTCAAGATTATTCAAACACAAACGAGGAATTAAATTGGGTATAGAAAAGAAATCTTTATTTTCCTCAAAACCAGAAAAATGGATAGAGTGCCTTTTGTGAAGAAATTGTTTCTGGTCTTTGGAGGTTATGATAGATTGTAAAATGCACAGCTCATAGATCTTTCTGTTGAGTATGAATGTGAGCTATGTATGTATGCTATGTATTATAGTTGTTACTTTTTTTTATAACTTCTGTTTTCAGGTTTGACTTGTACAGAGCAGAACTTTATCACAAAGGCAGGAGGTCAGAGGCTAGGAGCAAAGTTCAACTTCATTATTGTCAACCCTGATACAAGTCCACGTAAGTCTATTTGTGTGTTTGTTAATTTTATGGTAAAACTTTCTGTTGTAAGTCATTTTGTTGTAAAAAAGAGAGGCATGTCGACACGATATCCATAGTGCGAGGAAAGAGCAAGGCAGACAGACAAAAAAACGAGGATATCAATGGGGCATTTTGAAGGGCTGTAACTTGTTTCTAAAAGTTAATGAGCTAACTTGATTGGTGAAGAAAGAGGAAATGGATACTACCGAGTAACAAGTTCCTGGACAGTGTGTTGGAGCAGGGCTTCTGTAAGTGAGCTCTTCCACCACTAGAGGCACTGTACCCCCCACAGGTACTAACTGGTAACAAAAAAATAAATCCTGAACTTTTCGGACCATATGGAAATGCTATCGATGAGGAATAAAATTCTTAGGATCATATTTACTGAAACAGCCTGTACCAATACAATTTTTATATATATATAAAGTACTGTCATCCTATGTTTCTTGTAGTGTAGTTCTATACTGTTGTCATAATGTATTATCGGCATCTGTACAAAATCATTATAGTCCCATAGACAGACAGACAGATAGACATAGACTGTAGACAGGCAGAAACAAAAGAGGGAAAGTAGAGAAGCAGAGCCTATCATTGATGTCCAGCAACCAGCAGCAGGCCATTTTGAAAGTAAAAATAAAACTCTGTTAAGTTTTATTTTGATTACAATAACTCTACTTTCAGGTGGCTGCAACATTGAGGGTGAAGACGACAGCTACGACTTTGGATCAGGGGCCGGGTTTTATGTGGACTCAACCACCGACAAATGGAAGAAGAACTACCGCATGTATTCCTACATCACGAAAGAGGTGTGGGGCTGTAGTATTGAAAAGGGTGAAGGGGGGAAGGAAGGGGGAGGGGGGTGGATGTTATGGTAATTTTTTATAGAGGTGCGGGATATCTGGGTGCTATTTTAGCCACATCGTCATATTCATATCACTGTTGCCCCCAGGTCTTTTTTTTTTCAACTTTCTAGTTATTGTTATGGTAAAAGAGTCAGTTACTTGGTTTGTATCCTAATAATAACCTTGATAGATAATGATAAGTTGTATTATATTAATTATTTTTGCCCATTTTCATCTCAACGAGATGCTCAAAATCTATCACACTAAAAAGAAAGTCACCGGTATGTCAGACAAACTTCTACAAAAAAAAGGCTCACATTTCAGACATACTCATAAATTGATAAAAATCCACTATTACACAAAACCCCCCTAAAACAGATATAATGACACAAAAATACCAAACTGTTTCTTTATAAATACATAGTTGGACATAAAAAAGGCATGTGGCGTCGGTGGCCTAGTGGTTAGGCTCCCGGACTTGTAATCGTGAGGTTGCGAGTTCGGGGGTTCGAGCCGCTGGTCCGACGCACTTTACACAAATTTTCCTGACTTCACCCAGGTGGGAACGGGTACCTGGTCTTAGACGGTGAAAGATCTTGTCAGTATGTTTGTGTTTTCGCGCCCATAAATGACATCTTGCACTGTGTGGTTCTTAGGAAGTTGAGTTTGTTTCATAATGCTCTCAGGTCTGCTGGGGTAATAGTATAGGTTGTTGGAATGCTGGGGAAGTTCTTGTTCACAAGAGCCGGGAGCTACAACAAAATACAGAAAAAAAAGAGCTTGCTGTTGAGCGGGAACTTGCGCTGTACAAATGCTACCTATCATTATATGGTTATGGTTAACAACTCGCAATGAATAAAACAGTTGTTTCGCCTTGTTTCGTTTAGTACAAAAAATCCCGCTATTGAGGCATTGCCTCTTTTGTTCAAGTCGTAATGTTGACCAAGGTGAGCCCTTTCTCAAGTCTACAAAAATATATGACTTGGGTAATTATGTTATAATTGCCCTAGTAATCCCCCCCCCCCCCCCCCCTCTCCAGACAAACAAACCAGCAAACAAATCTTCCCCCCCCCCCCCTAAAAAAAAACCCCCAAAAAACCCCCTAACCCGCATATCCTCAGTGAGTTAAGTGGGACCACTGTCGAGAGTTCTCTGGGGCCGCTGCAGTTATGATTAAATGTGAACAGGATATTTGTATTTGATGTGTTATGGTTAGGTTATAGTTGTTTTTTAGAACATGTTTAGCTCGTTCTGTACCCAGAGCTAACTCCTCGCCTGTTGTAAACATAACAGTTTAAATGTAATGTCTTTATGAATTGTAGCCTTTTTTGTATGTCTTTATGAACTGTAGAACTTTTCATTTAGTTTCATCTATATGGAAATGTTGTAGTATGTTTATGAATTGTTGAATATTTTGTTTAGAGTTTTACACAGAAATGTAGTGTATCTTTTTGAATTGCAGAGTTTTTTGTTTAGAGGTTTGTATAGACAAAGGTTTGTCTTTTTGAATTGTAGAATTTATTGTTTAGTAGTTTTATTTTTTTCTGTATTTTGTTGTAGCTCCCGGCTCTTGTGAACGAGAACTTCCCCAGCATTCCAGACAGAATTGGTATTTCTGGCCACAGGTATGTTGTCAAGTCGTTCACGTAAAACTTTAAAAGGGATTGGGGGGGGGGGGGGGGGACATCGGCGCCTGTGGTTATGCGCTTTGCCATCCCTCCCAGAAGACGTGAGTTTAATTTCCATCTGTAGAGAATTTCTTTCTTATTGAACATTGTATCCCTCTCGGCCTTTGTCAAACTGTCATTAGGTACCAGAAACTAAATTTTCAAAGTAGTTGTATGCCAAATTTATCAGTTCCATTTGAAAGGCCTACATCCACTGAGCATTTTGGTACCATTCTTTAACCTCTCGGTCAATTTTTAAGAAAATGGTAGTTGTTTAAAATTTGATCAAATTTGTTAAAGTCAGTCACTGGCTGCAACCCCATGTTTGACAGACAATAAAAGAGTACCAAGAGCACTAAACATGTCCACATTAACAGAGTACAATAACTATAACAAATATATGGAGCCTAATTTTTTTCAAGACTGTGAGATCATTACAAATCAGTACTTTATCGCCTCAAACACGATGATCTGTCATTATTTCAACAAAAACACCGAGCGTTGACCCCGCCGGCGCCGCACCGGGCCCCGCGACGAGCGAGTCGGCTCTATACTGTATTGTACCCCGCGTGCGGGGTCACTTGCTTTCTGAGTCTCGCGGAAGGATTGATGAAAAATAATTCCATGTTAATTACTTTATTCTAATAAAAAATAAATTGATCTTTTATTAAATATAGTTTTTAAGCCGGTATTTTACATATTATGGGTAAAAATTGATCTTTAAACATTTTGACAGTATTTTTAAAAGCTTTCTATTTAGACGCCAAAGGCAAAACACATACCACGGGAAAGCCCGTTTAAAGCTCTACAGTTCTCCGCCAATGAAAAGACGGTATTTAATAATTCCTCGTTCCGCGAAGCATTTGAATGCACCCATGTCAATTTTTCAACCGGCCGACCACGCATTCTGACCGCGAGGGGCTTCGCTTTCGTCGGCGATTCTCCAGCTCCTACTAATCGGACATAAAAACAACTTACACCATTGTAACGAGGAAAAGCTGAACTTTTAGAAGGTGTTTTATAGCGAAAGAGCAAAGAAACAGCGATAGGAATTACCCCGATTTCACCAATACCACACGGTCGGAAGGCCGCGAGTGCCTGCGAGGCCGTGTTTACGCTACCTACTGTCATGCAGATTTGAAGATTGTATGGTTGCCTTGAACCTCACGTAGATTATACCAGTGGATGGTTGGCGGGTGCTCTGGTGTGGTTTGCTCCTTCTTTCGTATCAAGCCTCTAAATAGTTAAGTTGCCAAAGAGCTTCTTTATCTTGAAACTTGCTGAGAATATAAAATGAGGTGTTTTGTCAGCTTACTGCAGTATAGTGGTTAGCCTGTTGACTGTTGGGCCCAATGGTGTGCTATTGGGAAAGGCATTTTGCATTATATAAACTTTCCTCACTTCGCCCAGGTGGGAATGGGTACCCAGCGACAGGCGCTGAAAAGATCTTGTCTGTATGTTAATGTTTGAACACTTAACCGGCTGCTTGTACTGTATGCTTGCTAGGAAGCTGAGAATACTTCTGAGTGTTCTAGGGTCTGACAATAGTTGTAAAGCACATAGAGCTTGCTGTTGAGTGTTGGATTGCACTCTGTGAATGCAATCATTATTATTAATGCTATCCCATCCTCCTGCATAGGTATGCACTCTATAAATACAGTCATATTATTATTATTATTATTATTATTATCATCTCATCCTCCAGGTGGGTGGTTGGAGGGTGCCATGGGTAGGTCCTACTTCTTTTCTTTCAGTCAGTTGTTTCTGTCTTGTCTGTCTTGCTTTTTCTCAGCACTAAAAGACCATTATTGTGTTGATGTGCTTTTCTTTACTCAAACTAACAAAATCATCGTCAGGCTGGAGTATGCACTCTATAAATGCAATCATCATATATATTTTTGTTGATATCTGGTTTTCCAGCATGGGAGGTCACGGTGCCCTGATCAGCGCCCTGAAGAACCCCGGAATGTTCCGCTCCGTGAGTGCCTTCGCCCCCATCTCTCACCCAACCAAGTGCGCCTGGGGAAAGAAATGCTTCGGTGGATATCTGGGCTCTGACGAGAACGTATGGAGGGTAGGTCATCTGCTTTATCAATGCCTAGTGGTCTGTTCCTTCTTCTGTATGAGTGCTACTTGTGTTATCTTCTTTTTGCTGTGGGTGGCTTGTGGCTGCACTGGTGTGGCCTGCTTTTGGTTCTTCTTTTTAGTGATTCTTTTTAAAATCATATTGTGTTCCATACGAAATTTGGGTGACTGGGTGTGCCATGTTGGTATCATGCTCAACCACTGAACTGAGTTGTCAGCCCCGGTTCAAGTCCCCAACAGGGCATTCTTGAACTCTGGTTGTTTTGTTTTCTCAAGGCTCTCAACTGGACGAGTTCAGTCTTCTCTGAGATGGATTGCAAGTTTGGAGGTCCACTTTGTAAAAATATCGCGTGTTGAAAGGGGCGTTAAATACGTACATTTACTTTTTTGGTGTGCTTGGAAACTGCCAAAGGTAGTCATAGGTCCTTACTCTATATTGTGTCTCTGTTGCTTCCGTCTTGCTAGGTGGTTAGAGGACGCAACTGGTAGGCCCTATTTCTTTTCTTCCCCTCTGTTATTTCTGCCTGTCTGTCTTGCTTTTTCCCCCCATCTTCACTAACTGATTGTTATTGTGTCGGTATGCTTTTCTTTTCTCAAACTGTCTTAGCTGTTTAGAGCTATAAATGGCTGCTCGATTAAGTTTCTACACACTCTCCCTTCCATGTGACTCTACGTGAAATGTATCGATGGTGTTGTGCTCTATGGAACTGAAAGAAACAAGTCCAATTCTTTTGTAAATAATTTGTTCTTCATAACCAACGAAATCTGTCAATTATGTGCAATAATTTCATATTTAGACAGAATAATACAGTCCGTGCCGGCTTTAATTTTTGCTATATAAATTACACGCCTTTAAGCACGGTAACTTCGGCTTCAAGCACGCTTCATTTACAAGACAGTCAATATTTTCATGATGACCCATCGAAGTTCGAACACAGTCTACACCGCAGCAGTGGAGTGTGTCAAGAGAAACACGAAGAACGATTATGTCTACTTCGCACTCAAGCACGCTTCGGCTTTAAGCACGCTTCGGCTTTCTCCCGCCGACCGTGCTTAAAACCGGCATGGACTGTACTAACACCATTGATGTGATTCTACTTCAAGCATCGTGTCTTTCTGTGGTGCTTTTGAACGGTTGTTTACGTTTTTTCCATTCAGGAGTACGACGCCACAGAGCTGGTCAAGTCCTACAATGGACCGCCTCTGGACATCTTGGTGGACCAGGTGAGTTCTCATTTGGTCATTGTGGGTTGTGGGTGGTTGGAGGGCGCCACTGGTAGGTACTCTCCCTTTCTTCCCTCTCATTTCTGTCCGTTTGTCTTACATTTTACCCAGCACTAAATAGCCTTTATTGTGTCAATGTGGTTCTCTATAATTTACTCAAACCAAACAAAACATCATTGTGGGTGGTTGGAGGGCAGCACTGGTAGTAGTGATAGGTTCTTTTGGTACTTAATGGTACTTATTTGCTTTTCCTTTGTTCTGTCTGTCCTGTTTCTTTTTTTTCTTTGCATTTTAAAACTGTTGTGTTGATGCGCTTGTCTTTCACGGCGCACCGGCAGTGGAATTTTAGTTGTAGCGGGGGGTTCCCTGCCGAGCGCCTTATCCCATCGAGGTCACGGGGGTCAGCTCCCTGTCGCCGCTCTGTCTAGGCTGACTTCATTTTTGGTATTTTTCAATGTACAGTTTTAGGCGCATCCTTGTATTTATGGTAATTTTCATTTAATGCACCCAAAGCTTGCATTTCTGCTCTTGAGACCCAAAAAACAACGGACACTGTAACTTGTCTGGTTATTTCGTTAGACGCGCTGAATGCTAAATTGTAAAAATTTTTGTACGAGTGTCAATGAAAGAGATTCAATATAAAATAAAAAGCATGACAAAAACTGTCAAACTTTTGGAACATGAACAACCTAACATTGGTGCAGGTACTCATTTGGATTCATAATCGCTTTGGAAAGTGAAGCTCCTCGTGGTCGGAATGCGAGGTCGGCCGGTTAAAAAATTTACACGCTTACATTCAAATGCTTCACGGAGAGATTGATGATTAAATACCATCTTTTCATTGTCGGAGAACTGTAGAGCTTTGAAAGGGGTTTCCTGTGGTATCTTTTTCACCGTTGATGCTACCCTAAATAGAAAGCCTTTAATAGACCTGCATGTTTGCCGACAATCGTCTGAAATCCGACAATCGCGACCCGACCCGTGAGCCGGCCTACTTGTATCAGTCAATGTGCGAAGTGCGAGGCCTGGCCGACTGCCAGCGCCCCCTTATTCTCCCATCGGCTTTGTCGGCACTTTTTCGTTTTCGTGCCGATGTCGGCGTTTTCGACATAATTGTCGGAACTTGAGTAGAAATACGAAAAAGAACGACCTAAATTATCTTCTTTCAGTTTCGTGCTCGAGCGCCCATTTTGAATTTCGTTTGTAAACTGATTGTTCAGATCATGTGGATTCATTCAAGTCCGACTAACTTGTTCTACTAGATCTAGATCTAGATTTATAGATCATTATAGACCTCAATGGAGGATTCATATTCCAATTCTATGGTGTCAAACTCAAACCCTATCGTAGGTTGTGCTGTAATATTAATTAATGTTGGTAAAAAGCATTTCATCAGGTGCGTGAATTATTAAATATTTTGGATCTAGACTCAGCTGAGTCCCTTTGTTCGGAATCGGATGCGGATTTCTCGTTCAAGGCCTATTCCTATTCACATGTTCTACTAGATATCTAGATCTATATCTAGATCTAGAATTATTTAGATCACTAGATCTAGATCTATATGGGAATTCATATTCCAATTCTATTGTGTTATTGTATCAAACCCTAAGTATTATAATTATAGCAATGTAGGGCGGGCCATTGTGCTCCTTTGTTTATGTTTTGGAGTGTGGTTTTTTTTGTTGTTGTTATTTTTCATTTTGGACTTGTGCTGGCCTTTTTACTTGAGGGCCGTTGCAGGTTCTTTTTTGGGGTAGGCCTAGGATTTGGGTTAGGGTTAGGTCTCTTCTTTAGTGTGTTTTTTGGGTGGTCGCTAGTTACTCGGAAGTCCTTCCTTTAATGACACCTGCACAAAAGCTCTAAAGGGGGTGGGGGGGGGGGGGGGTCGCAAAATTTTCAAACAATCTGGTTGAGGCTCACATGCAGGTCTACTTTAAAAATAGAGTTAAAGTTTTTAAAGATAATTTTTTACACGAAATATGTAAAATACCGGCTCAAAAAAGGTACCAATAGAAAGATCAGTTCATTTTGTATTAAATTAAAGTAATCGGCTTGGAATTATTTAGCATCAATCCTTCTGAGAAACTCGGAAAGCATGTGACCTCCCACGTAGGGAACATTCAGTACACTACAATATAGAGCTGACTCACTTGCTGCAGGGTCCGGTGCGGCCGGGTCACGCTCAGTGTTTTTGTCGAAATAACGTCGTGTCGTCATCGTGATTGAGGCAAAACACCACTAATTTGTAGTGATCTTGAAGAAAATTAGGCTCCGTATCTATGTTATACTGATTGTACTCTGTAAATTTGGAGATGTTTGGTGCACTTGATACTCTTTTATTATCTGTCGAACACGGGGTGGCAGCCAGTTAGCAACTAGCAATATTTGATCATATTTAATTAACCCTTTCAAACTGAGCAGGCTTGGCCAGCTGTGGCCCCCCATCCTTAAGACAAGGGCAACAACTCCATGAAAATTGAAGGGGTACCTAACTAAAAAAATTGTATAAAATCACAAACACAACCAAAAATGATGAAAATAGTATTTTCTGAAAGGAAAATGAATGAGCTAAATTACTAGTACAAAATTATAAGTGGAATAGAAGAGTATGAAATGATATGAGAGGTCTTTCTGAGATGCGTGTCTTGGACTCCGAGTCTAGATCTGGATCTCGTATACATTTTTTCAACTCACGAAGTTTCTGCCACTGACAAAGAGGTAATCCACACAAAAGAAATACAACACCTTCACAGAGATTGAAGCCTCTGGTGGAAACTTTAAAGCACCTAAAAGACTTTTCTTTGGGTGATTTTATTTTGTTTTTGCCGTATTCATATCGGGCAGCTTTGCGCCCATGCATCCTTTTGTTCCCGCTCAAAAAGTGACTCTTTGTGCTTGCGAAACAAGAAAAACACCATATTAAACCGGAACTCTTCCTCTAAGATAGCTAAGTGAAACTTCTGATGATAGTAAAAGTAGAAGCGTCCCGCGGCAACGAAACAAACACCCCCGTGGCGGGCGCTATAGGGATGAGTGAGGGTCACTGGCGCGGGCGCATATGGGCGCTGTAAGTGCAAAACGGTTAAACAGCTACCATTTTCTTAAAAAATGACTGAGAGGTTAAAGAACGGTACTAAAAATTCTCAGGAGATGTAGCCCTTATATGGAACAGATACCTTTGGCATACAGCTACTTTGAAAATTTAGTTGCTGGTACCTACTGTTTCCCAGGGTGCTGCTGACAACTTCCTGAAGGAAGGCCAGTTGTTGCCGGAACGCCTCATGGAGTCGTGCGCCGAGAGCAAGATGCCGTGCGTCATGCGTATGCAGGAGGTAAGTCTCAGCGAGCCACCGGAGTTCCCTTAGCGATTATAATGGAAGCAAAATGGCATTTCTCTTTATTTTGAGACCGGTCTTGCTGAATAAGTGTATTTTTCAGTTAAAATTTCGTAATTTTGTTTTTAATTTTGTTTTATGACCAATTTTTACCCAGTTCATAAATATATCCGATATATCCGATATATCAATGGGAAGCCTATTCGTTGCTGAAGAGAATGAGATAATCTTTAGCGAGAAGCTGTGATTTAGATACAGTGTCCTGAATGTTAACTCACTCACTGCCAGGCATTTCTCGGCAGGATAACTGAGGAATGCCAGGCTTTCGGGACCATTTTCAAAACCTGACTGTGAGCTATTATTTTGTGCACAGCATTGAACTTTTCCACAAACAATGACATTGAAATATACTCAACAAATCCCCCAAAAATTTTGTGATACCTTTACCATGTGAAATTTTATGAGTTTGTGAATATGGGGCAAAATCGAGAAAAAAACTTTTTACATAACATTTAGGTGCTTGGTACATTCAGTCGATATGCATGCTTTTATATCTTTATCTCTGCAAGAAATAGATGTTGTACCAACTGGTATGTTGAAGAGTCACTTTGAAAAGATATCTAACTATTTTATATAACTGGAATATCATTTAAGTCATCAGTCCACCCATCCTGAGCATCAACATCAGGGTGTGTGGTTACAGGACGGGGCATGGCCACTGGGGGAGGGGTGCCACTATTTGAAGTTTGTTGTGTAGACATAGAAGGGTCTATGTCAGCTGTATTCTTATCATTTGGGGTGTAAATCTATGTTGTGTGATCTTTGACGTTTGCGTGACGGGACCGGGAAGCATCGGATAATAGGTCTGAGCATGGGGTACACCCGATTCTAGATCTGAACACCCGATTCTAGATCTGAACACCCGATTCTAGATCTGAACACCCGATTCTAGATCTAGGCCTAGTTCTAGCACAATTTTCATCTTCACTTGAGTCCGCACCTCTCCTATTTCCTTCCCTATACTCATTATCAACTTTGTATGACGATTCATCATCACTATCATCTGCAAAAAGATCTAGATCGTAACTGAGCGTTAGTAGTTTCTAGTTCGTTTCGGGTGAGTTTGAAAAAGTCCGATTTTTAAGAAGCTTATTCAAGGGAAGTTACTGCAACAATGCGGAATCGAAACTAAACTGGCTTATGTCGCCTACTTCCGACTGCCAAGCCCGAAATGCGTCGGGGAATGTTTGAAAAATAGTAGTAAAAACGCACCCGACTAGGGTTTCTGGTTTGGCAGGCAGCGGTCTACGCGGATCACCCGACAGGGTTCGGGCATGGCAGTGAGTGAGTTAAAAGCAGGTCACTTCCCTGGTTCGTTGGGAGCACAGTGGTAAAACTGCTGATTCACAAATTTTGCTTCCCTCAAAAACAAGCACAAGCCAATATTTTTTACATATCACTGGTACGAACCCCCCCCCCCCCCCCCCCCAAAAAGAGCTTTTTTATTGGTGTATTTTGTTTTACATGCAGTATATAGAAGCTTTGTAACTTGTTTTAAAAGTTATGACATCTTTCCCCTAACTCCGCAGCACAACGTCCTGTTCTGAGAACCTACAATCACTTAACTTAAACTTAAACCAAAACTATGATCTGCACACCAAACAGTATTTTTCAGTTCGGATATATGAAAGTAAGGGCATAATACAAAGTTTACAATGTTTATCTTGTTCTCAGCCAGAATACTACAACTAGACTGGAATAAAATTGTTTATTTCAACATCTGCAGTCTTTTTTTTTGTTTGTTTTTTTGTAAAGTGTTTTACGGCGCTCGCAACTGCATAGGTCATATGAGCGCGCGGGACACACCTAATATTTTCAGTTGGTAGGAAATTTTGAATTTTGCCCGGTTGGCGGCCGAAGCCTACTCTTATCGATTTTAGACCACCAAGGGATCTTTAACGTGCGCAACTTGCACACGGGCCCTCCGAGATTTTTCGCCCTTGTCCGAGAAGGCTCGGTGTAGATCTTTCCTACCAGAAGATCAGTGGTGTGGCTGAAAGACAGCAGTAAGAAGAAGTGAAGGAGTAGCAGTAGAAAGGCTGCAGAAAGAATCAGGAGCCCAGAGGAAGGGGCAAAGGAGGTGAGGGGGTGGGGGCAGAAAGAGGAGACGAAAGCAGACGACAGAACATTGCTAGAAAGCAGGAAATGAGGTGAAAGGAGACAAATTTAGAGAAGAAAATTTTTCGGTCGCTACCCGGATTCGAACTCGGGACCTTTAAATGAGAGGCCAACACCTTAACCTCTAGGCCACGAGAGCCCCCCATCTGCAGTCTGAAAGATCAGACCATGGGTGAAAGTGACAAGAGATGGGTTAGCCTGAAAATTCTGTTGTTCGAATGGATAGCCTGAAAAGTTCATAGTAAATTCCACGCGGCCTGAAGAATTGGGTAGGCTTCTCAATTTTCTAGGGGCATGTCACATAACAATGACAGCACGTGCTCCATTTAAGTATATATAACATACATACACACACACACACATACATACGTAGCCAACATTATATTATATCCCCTCAACAAAATTTCAGTGTGGTACTGGAGTCTTGTGTGACTTAACATATTTCAGTCAGTTCTTACTTGTTATATATTCATATTTTCTTATTTATATTTTCCACTCATCATGTTATATTATAAAAATGAATCCTACTTTGAGCCTGTGAAAGGGCCTAGAAACCAGTCTTGGTGTCATCATTCATGATATATAATAAACATGAAAGTAGGTACCACAAGCGAAAATTTTTTGGAACAATATTGACGTTTAAACCTCAGGGGTTCAAATCTACTCTATGAAACAAGAACATTAAAAAAAGAATTATCAAAATCCATCAATAAACAATCGAGATATGGTATTTCAAAGTTTTATTTTTGAACGAAACCTTTTCAACTGCGACTTTCACTCATGTTTGAGGTGTTCCAAAATACAAAGTGCATGATCAAATCAATGAAAACTTTGTTTTTTCAAGAGCTGTCAACACAAATATTGATATCTCTAAATCAAAGCATGTTAGAATGACTGGTTTCCAAGATATAGGCCTTCAAAAATTGAAAATAAATGCCAAAATTTGTCATTAAGAGCTCAGAACCCTATTTTAACCTCTTCCAAATTAGTCAAAACTGCCTCCTCATTAGTGAAAATCACACAATCATTACAAATACATGCATAGACTTAGCTGAATTTTTTTCAGACCTCTCTAACCATAAGTAACTTTTCTGAACTCCTCTGAAGTGGGCTTCGGTGCAAAAAACGCCTCTTGGAAAAAAATTAGGGGAATTCTGGTACATCCTCGGGCAAAAAGCATCACAACAAGTGAACAAATTAAGCTACAGGGCTAAATCATACATCAAATTAAAGCTCAATGCAAGCTCTACGGGGCCAAATGAAAACTGTTTACTAAAACCTCTCATAACACTCCATAAAAGGGCCATAATGCCCAAAAACCTGCCACTATTGAGTGAAAATTATAACGTCTGCTGACTGGAAAAAATTCATATAAAATCAAAAAATTGTGCTACAAGGTTGAAGTATATATCAAATTAAAGCTCTTTTCAGGCTCTATACAGTGAATTAGTTTATAGAAAGAAAAAAAAACCTTCCAAACATTTCAGATATGGACAATAATGTGAAAAAGTCGTCAATATTGGTTCAGAAAATAAAGATTTCTGCACAGGGGGTTTAAAAATTTGAATTAAATCAACATACTGTTCTACCGTGGTTCATCTTGTATAATATAGATCTAGTTCTAGATTTATTTATCATTTTAGCTGAGAAAGAAACCAGTGGCTGGGGAAATACAATGTATCATCGTGTGTCCAGTACGTGGATGGAAGAAAGAGTGGGGGGGGGGGGGGGGGCATCTCCAATTAGCCTATCAGGTGACATCTAAGTCTAACTAAGTCTAAGAATACGTAAAAAGGCTGGTTGATTCAATAATTGAATATATCCACCAATCAAGAACGTAGATCTAGCCTTTTTTGTTACCGAATTAAATGCCAAACAATAGATCTACGAACATTTCCATCGGTAACATACTAACACCCGGTAACCCCCTTCCGAGTGTTTAGTAGTGTGTGATGACATGTTACTATAAATAGAACTCCCAGTTCAACTCTTCACGGCTTTATTCTTTCACTTTGTCGACCTGAGATGCTTTGATCTCGATGCATTTAGAATAAATAAGGTGTTCTTAGTTGAAAAGACAGCAAAAATACCACCACGAAGCGATACATTTGTATAGATCGCAATTAATTCACTATGAGGTGGGGGAAATATAGGTCGGCGTGATTCCCACCAAACAATAACAATCCAACCACACGGCAAGTGGTGGCCGATTAGTCTTATTTTTCAAAACACGATATTCATAAGTATCCTAAAAGAAAATTATGATAATACTTACATAAATTGACGCCATAAACAGATCTATCGAATGTTTCTTTTACTGAACCATCATTATAATCGTCTGCTGGTTGGGTCAAGTCAGAGGGGGTGGAAATGGGCGATGGAACAGCCGCAATGGCAGAATGACGATCTCCCGAAAGTGGTTGTTACCCTACTTCAGAAAAAGTAATAATTCTACTTCGTGGAACGTAGTTGGCTTTTCTAAACACATAAACTTGGTGGTAGAGATGTCTAGGAATATGATCATGGCACGTATAGCCCGATTTGTGTCGAATTTCATATTTTAAAATGCTTTCTTCGTCTTTACATCGTACTACTCAAGCTTTCCGCTCGGAATAAAAACATAAATACATTCCCCGGAAATTCTCCTGGAATCCCAGATTTTTATGTTTCAAACCGCAAGAAAATTCGATGATTCACGACTGAGAAATCGAAATTTAAAACAAGTACCCCCCCAAATCTAAGCGCGCAAAATTGCGAGACGGCCGAGTTTTCTCGTGTTAAACTTTAGTCAATTAAAAACTAAATATGCAATCATAAGTCTTGTATCAGTTTTTCGTTCACCATGGAGAAGGAAAGACACAGAAAACAGTGGTATAATTTTTATTAGTGTTTACCAAAATAAAAACCAGCTAATAGTTGGATAAAGTTGTCCAAATCTGGCCCCAGCCGTAGCTGTCTGCCTTGAAAACGGCTCGCCTGCGGTACCTAATGAAAGGCAAAAATGTTTGCTCAAACTCACAGTAGAGTAATAACTGAAATAGCTCTTTATAAAAATATATCCCCCCCCCCCATGCTTCCAAACGCTCAGACTTTGAATGAACTTTGGTGACCCCCAACAGCTCAACTGCCGGTACTCACACGATGCCGTATCATGTGATTCCAAACATGCGCAGGTTCACTGACCAGCCCAACAAGCTGACAATTGGATCGCGCTTTTTTTCTTTTTTCACAAGTGACAGCACAGAGACACACAGTGGAATCCTGTTATAACGAGGGGGGGGGACCGGTGCAAAATGTCCGTTATAGCAGGATTCTCGTTATAAGGGATCCAGTAATTAAAATAGTAAAGTAGGCCTAAACTTTGAGTTTGGTGTTCTGTTTATTCCTTTTTGTATTTCCCCTGATGATGATTTAGTCCAACATGATCTCTAGGTCTTACTTGATCAAAAATCTGACTGTATATTTGACTGTACATTACATATTTTTCCTCCAGGGTTACGACCACAGCTACTTCTTCGTCAGCACATTTATGGAAGACCACTTTGCCCACCACGCCAAGTTCCTCAACAACTGAGCCTGTTTTTGGAAATTTTCCTCAGGACAGAGTCGCTTCCCGCTCTCACTACCGCGCCTAATGATACAATGCGGATGGGATGAGTTTGTGCGAAGTATGTCGCAAGTTTTGTTATGATTAAGTCAGTTTGTTGCTAAAGCTTTATAACGTGCAAACCCATGAGTAAGTTGATTTGTTCCAAAATCTTTATACCCAAAGATTAAGTCAATTTGTTGTTATAGTTTTGTAAAATGAATATCATTGTCTTATTTTAATGTATTCATGATCAGTAAACATGTAATTTTTATTATTGTGTTAACATTGGCCAGTGCTTGGAGCTTGATAATGACTGCAGGTCATTTTTTATTGTAGTGAATTCGCTGTTGAAAGCAGCTGTTATTATGGTTTTAGACAAAGGACTATTCATAACTCGTTGTTGATTATTTTGCCGACCCTTGAATGCAGACATTTGTTTATGTTTGAGATAAAGGTGCTGGAGAGACTTAACTTATATCCTGTAATAATGAGGAAGGGTAATTAATTATTCAGAAATCATTAACCCATCAAGGAAGCATTTTTATAACTTCAAGGGCAAACAGTATACATAAACGCCAGTTAAAATCCAATTAGATTCAAACAGTTGTTCGTTGAAAAATCTTGTGGAGAAAGTATCCCTGACTAAATGAATGGACTACAATAGATTGAACATCCCGCATCCTAAATGATTCAAATTGTGTAGATGTCAATGGGAAATTTAAATCACAACAACTTTACTGTTGATCAGTATTTTTTGTTGAAGTTTCATCAAGTAGGCTACTCAAAGTGTGGCGTACAGTACCAAGCTCATACATGAATACAGTCAGTAAGTGATTCGGCTCGTGTCTCGGGGATACCATTTGTATTGACGGCTTCAGGTGGTTTAGGCTGAGATATATTACCTGTGCATGTACTTACTACTTACACTTACTAATACTATAGACTGTCAGTGCATCTTCTCTGGTGGTAATGGATACTGTCTATTTGTGTGGCACAGGGTTGGTGATTTTTTTCATAAAAATAAAAAAAATCGATTTTTTAAATTTAAATCATGATTTTTGTAATTTAAATCAGATTTTTTTGATTTTTTAAAAAATGTCGACAGTTTGGGATTTTTGGTTGCTAAAAGTATGTTCTTTTAGTGCAAAATGCATTGTCTTTATTTTAACTAATGATTAATTTAAGCAACCGCAAAAGAAAGCCTTAATCTGCTATATATATATCAGTGAATTATGGCTACAGACAAAAAATGAAGAAAATGTCAGCCTAAAAGGAAGGGGGGGGGGGGGGGGGTAATTATGCATAGATAAACTTGCATTTTATTACAGTGTGTGTGTGTGTGCACGCGCTTGTGTTTGTCTAAAAAGAAAAAGAAAATGTTAATTTCAATAATGAAAAAAAAGTAAATTGAATGCTGTATTATTTTACAGTGAAAAGCAGACTTTTAAGCATAATTATATTAGTCTACTAAACCTTATATCTGTTTTATAAAACCAAGGAAAGGAATTCTGAATGTTCAAATATGTAAAAACTGAATACATTTGTTAAAAAGTGATTTAAATCACTGATTTTTATTTTAAAAATCAAGTTGATTGAAATATATAAAAAAATCAACTGATTTAAATCAACCCAGCTCTGATTTCAATTATGGAAAAAAAAGTAAATTGAATACTGTACATGTATTATTTTACAGTGAAAGGTGGGAAAGCAGACTTTTAAGCATGATTATATTAGTCTACTTAACCTTATATCTGTTTTATGAAACCAAGGAAGGGAATTCTGAATGTTGAAATATGTAAAAACTGAATAAAAATAAATTTAAAAAAAAGTGATTTAAATCACTGATTTTTATTTAAAAAATCAACTGATTTAAATCAACCCAACCCTGGTGTGGCACTGTGGGAGAATGTTTCAATTTGTGCAGTTTCATTTCTATTCAGTTCTATATTCAACGACTTTTTATTGGTGTTTGTTTTTTTGTTTTATTAAATGATCTTAGAAACTGATGTTTTCAGCTTTGAAGGAGCAGAGAATTGTTATTTATTTTTATCCCCTTATAATTAAATCTTTATCTCTCTCTATGATGAGATCCGATTGTTCTGCAGAATTATTTTGACAAATTGCATTTTACTTAAATGTGTCAGAGAGTAGAAAGCTTTGTGTAACTGTTACATGCACACACTCTCCCTTTAAAGTTTACCTGCTGTGTGGAATGTATTGTGTGTGTAGTTACCGGGTACACCTGATTGACCAATCATCACTTTCCTCTCAGTGTTTCCAGACAGTAGGCCTACTGGACACTGATGACATTATTGCGTTGTTAACTAAGTGAATATGGTGAAAAGAATATATCCTGCCCATTTGTTTTGTGCCAATAATATGACAAACATCACAATCCAATCCCTCGAATAAATTTCTCATGAATATATTAATAAATTTGTACTTCAACTTTCTCTGTGTGGTGGCTCTAATTACAAAATATTTTTTCCTCTAGCACAATGCGCCCCCATTGATACAATTCTGGTCTTATGTAGGGCACACATGCTGCTGTGATCCTGTCTGTCTGTCTTAAGGCTTAGTGGGACAGTGAATCATCCCAGCTTCAAATGGGGGAATACTTGATGACCTGTCTTCCCCCTTGAGCCTCTCTCCACTGTACCACAGACAAGTCTTTTAGCTCTTCCCGTGCACACCTGGGGGAACGGCAGGACTGAGGTTTTGTGCTCTTTAGACTAAATGGAGGCCTCTTTAATTTAATACCCTGATGGTGCCAAAGGGGTATCCCAAAACAGAAAGTACCAGTCAGCCAGGGGTAATGTAAAAGGCAACTGTTTGTCTTTGAACTTGATCCCTCTAACCAATATCTCTAAAGGGGGTATAATAAGTGCATCGAAAAGATGAGGACGATAGATGTTTCATAGCATGGGTCTCAACTCAGAATTTTAAAAAAGGAGGAACTTTCCGCGTGATCGCGACAGAAGCCCATTTTCGCGAGACACCCACTATTATTACACTGTTTAACCCTAGAATGTTGAAATAAAAACCATCAATTTATCAAAGCAAGGTTATTTCATACCAGTTTGAGGGTTTGGAAAATAATTTCAAGTAATAGTCACTTACCAAATATTTACAATCTTGATTATGTACAGAAAGTTGTGGCGCCCTGTGGTCTTTTGTGACTTATTTATATTTTCCCTTCATCATATTCGCCTGCATATATAAACTATATAAAAATTAATCTTGTTTTTGAGCCTGAGAAAAGGCCTAGAACTAGAACCAGAATATCGACTGTCATGAACCAGTCTGGGTGTCATGATTTATATATATATATATACAGGGTCGGGAAATCGGGAAAAAGTCGGGAATTTTGAGATGGGTCGGGAGGTCGGGAAAAAGTCGGGAATTTTGTGATGGGTCGGTAAGTCGGGAAAGTATAGGGCCTGTGTAATGTGCAGCTATCTAGACTGTATGGGTGATGAATCTTAAAGAGGAAACGTAACTGAAACATCCGCTGTGACGGAAGTATGTGTGACACCGAGGCTCGATCGCGAAGAATCAAGATCTGCTTTCGTTACCGCCCAGAAATTTCCCGGTAATAGTCTGATAGATAACGCAACATTTGTAACATGCAGGTTGTGCATTATGAACGCTGTGTCGCCTTGAAAATAAATCAATATTAAAAATTGCCCTCTGCTGTCGCTTGTGGATAAAAAAAAAAAGAAAAAGAAGTTATACAAGCGTCTGGACAGGTTCGCCCTCGTGACCGGTCAATGAACCTGTGAGTACCGGCGGTCTGAGCGCTGTGAAGTATAGGACTCCTTTATAATAAGATACACTCGTGGAAGGGGATTTTTTTTTTTTGGGGGGGGGAGCTGAAGGCAACGCTAGAGGACAAAAACTGAACTTGGAAAGCAAATTTTTAGCATTTTGATTACTACTTTAGAGCTCTCTGCAAAGCGCGCGTTGGTGCAGGCCTTGAGTGGAATCAGGATCCGTCATGCCTTGTTATTGAACTAAAGTGTTCGCGTTTCATTGGATGGGGTGATTGTAATTTATATCTATATTTTATTAGCTTTCTGTTCAAGATTGGCAGATTTTCAGTGTCACTGCATCTTGCGCGCCCCCCCCCCCCCCCAACCCCAATTCTTACACCTCTCACACTGAATAGGTGTACTTGAGCCATTCTAGTTATTACTCTACTTTGAGTTGCAGCAATGGTTTTCGTCTTCACGTTTATTATATGAATCGTGACAACCAGACTGGTTATTGACAGTCGATTTTCTAGTTCTAGGTCTTTTTTCAGGCTCAAAACAGGATTCATTTGTTAAAATATAGGGCCTATAGTTTGTTATGTTGGCTAATATGATGATGGGAAAATATAAATAAGTAAGAACAGACTGAAATACCAAAGTCTCTCAAGATCCCAGTGCCACACTGACATGTTGACTGGACATAATGTACCTACATGTGTGTGTGTGTGTGTATTCACAAACATACATGTATTATATTAGATATAAATGGAGCACACGCTTTCATTGTTATGTAATGTGTTCCTGGAAAATTGAGAAGCTGGTTTGGCAGTCACCCAGTATTATAGTCATCTATTGTTTGAAGACTATACTACAAAATGTACATTTGCATTCATTTATAGACATTTTGACTTTTTATCTTTGATAGATTGGCTTTTTTGGGGATCATTCTTGACGCGCAGCGGCCTGATTTTTCGCTCGAATTGGGGCCTTGAAAATTTTTTCCAGGATTTGGTGGGGACCCTGTATATATATATATATATATATAAAATAAACGTGAAAGTCAAAAATAAATGCACGAACTCAAAGTAGAGTAATAACTTGAACAGCTCAAGTAGACTTATTCAGTGTGACAGGTGTAAGAACTGTGGGAGGGCAAGATGCGGTGACACTGAAAATCTGCAAATCAGTGAATCTTGAACAGAAAGCTAAAATATATAATTTACTGTCACCCATCCAATGAAACCCGAACACTTAGGCCCCTGTCCTAAGTTCATTACCACGCTTACAAGGTATGACGGATCCCGATTATACACAAGGCATGCACCAACGTGGACTTTACTTTGCAGAGAGCTGTAGTAGTAATAACAATTCTAAATATATACAAAATTTGCTTCCAATTTCTTTTTTTTTTGTTTGTCCTCTGGTGTTGCGTCCAGCCCTCCCCCCCCCCCCCCCCCATCCCTGAGTGTACCTTTTTAAAAAAATCAATTATCTTCCCCCATTCTGGAGTCCTGTACTTCACAGCGCTCAAAGCGCGCGCAGGTTCACTGACCGGTCACTCACATGACGAGCCCGACAAGAGGCGTGTATAACTTTCTTTTCTTTCTTTTTTTTGCCCCCACAAGTGACGGCACAGACTGTGGTGAAGAATATTATTTTCATGGTGACACCACCTTTGTATTGTAATGCAGAACCAGCATGTTATAAATGTTGCGTTATCAGACATTAACTGACAAATTTCTGAGATCTTGATTTTCCGGTCGAGCCTTGGTGTCACATATAATTCCGCTTGCGGCAATAGTCGCCTGTTCGCGTGAAACACTCTCAGACCGGGAAAATCACAATCGCGACCGGAAAAAATGAACTTAAAGACGTTATCAGAGTTGGCTTTCAAATAATATTCGAGATCTTTTATGCATTTTCCCGGGTCTCTGCGATTTTTTTCAAATTCCCGGGGCCTGGAAGTCACCCTGCTCCCAGCAACTCTCTTTCTGATTGGCCCGCTGTCGCAGTAGCGGAGTTTACGGAGGAAATGGCAGTAGCGGAAATCCGCTAAATAGCAGAATATTGAGACCCATGCGTAGGAAAGAAGCAAACCACACCAGAGCAATCACAACCACCTGCATGTACAAGAGGGTAACACAAAAAGGAGGAGAGATAAGGACGACAGATGTTCCATAGAAAAGAAAGAGCAAACCACACCAAAGCACCCACCAACCACATGTAAAAAGACCTCAGATTTAAATGAAGATTTCATTCATCATACAAACGACACAAACCTGAAACCAAAACACTATTTTTTTGTAACAAACATTTTTTTACTTTGATGATCCGTTCACGAAAACTTAAAACAAATCCCAGAAAAACAAACAAGAAGCAAGCAAATTGCCTTGCTACAGTCTTCGGCATGACGCATCGTATACCAACTTGCTAAAACTTTGAAACTTCTGCACTGTGACCTTGAGGAGAACTCTTCAATTTGGGGGGGGGGGGGGGGGGGGCAGGCAGGTGCTAGCAAGTCCAGGTTATGAGGATCTTTGTTGTACTAGAGTCAAAACAGTCAGTGTCTCCTCTTTTGTCTGACTGAGCATCTCAGAACAAGATCTGTCTTCTTCACTCTGAGGCTAGGGGGGGACTCTGTGTGAGGTTCTGTCCATAGATGATCCTCCTGTGCAGAGTATGCGACACTTTGACCTCTGACGATCTATGAACTATAATCTATGACCTTGGAATCACACTTGGGGACTTCATCCATCTTGACTATATTCTATTAAATGATCTTTTCTTTGTACATTCATTCATTCACTTTCACTCTTTTGATGGTCTAGAAACCTGACTTCAGTGTCACACTAAGCACACAGAATCTAAGAACCCCTACAATCATTTTTCCTTGTAGAGAAGCATTCATTCTCATGACATTAGTCAAAATGACCTATGACCAGTGGGTCGTATCCACTGTTATTTTCATCCACATGCCAACCTGTGAATCCAGACTTAAGCATCACTGAGACTACTTTATCCTCCTTTCAGAGCCTTGGACTCTCTTTCACTTATAGTAGGGCGACCTACGACCTTGGGTTATACTTGGCACAGACTCAGACAGTGTTTCTGCCACTCTCTCTTCCTCTTACATTTAGAGGAATTTCTCATTGTTTCCCCGTCCTTCCCTCTACATTGCTTCCCCTTCCAGCTTCCTCCTCCTCAGCTGTGCAAGCCTCTGCATCCATCTGTCCATCTTCTCGTCTGGGTCACAATACAACTGGAAAACAAAAGAAAAAAGAAAAGAGTAAATAAATGACAAATCATGTAATTTCTCTCCTAGATAATGTGAGATAATAACACGAAGGGCACACGGGAAAACCAGCGATGTCAGGTCATGTGGGGAGCCGCATTATCTTCTGTGATATAGAAGGGCCCAGAGAACATTGCAGAGAGAAAATTACTTCAATTAGAAAAACATTGGCGCCAGCATTGTAGTGCTTAGATGCCATTGCAAGCAGAGAACATAAGTTCAATTCCTGTATGTTTATATTATAATTGAGTATCTACGTCTGTCCGCTCCGAAGTTGTATTCCTCTCAGTCCAGGTAGGCTGTGACAGGCATGGTGGAAACAGCCAGTCTACCCAACAGAAAAAAAGAAAGTACTAAGGAAAAACTTACACTTGGATGCATAATTGAGTCAGGATCCATGTCGATGGGCCGTGTGTCTGGGTCTGGTTTGAGAGTAAAGCCAGTGACCGCCAGTGAACCAAAAATAGCATCGTCATGGCTGAGTCGCAGCTCTGAGGGTTCCTCCTGAAAGAAACAAGAAATGGTCTCTATTAGTTTTCTGTAGTGAAAGAACACGACATAAAGTTTCCATTTTTAACACTAGGACACAGGAACATTAAAAAACGGTTGGAAATTTCTTGGGGGGGGGGGGGGGGGGTGTAGGCGGAAATCTCATACATATTTGTTGGGTGATTTGATAACTTTTTATAGTATGATCAAAACCACCGTGGTGGTATGACAATCGATAGATGAATTACAAGGACACCATACGATGGGAAACTCGGTTATATAACAGAAATATTATGAAATGCAAACAATACAAAAAATTCTTAACCCTTTTCGCCATGGTTGACCTTCAGCAGTGTGCTTGCCTCGAGGTGTGGCGGTAGAAAATATGTCGTAAATTGACACACTAATGTCAGACACATGAATCATTGTGTAATTTTGCCTACATGTTTACCTTCTTAGACGATTCATTTAAATACTAGGTGTCTAGATCTATGTCTTTCGCATGTGCTTAATCGCTTATACCCAGAGAAAAACTAAACATATAGTTGATGTAGTTCAACTTTCAACCAATACAAAGACTATCAAAGAGTTACACAGTTGTATCATTATGTGGCAGAATTTTTTTCTGCTCCTCAACCAACTTCATTTTCTCGTAGTTTTGTTTCAATATTTCAGAAATTTAAAATTCTTCGGCCAAGAACAAAGGAAATTTATTTTCTGATAATGTCATAAGCGAAATCTTAGGTTTTTTTTTTTAAAACATGGAAATGTGGATGATAAGATCTAGTTTTGCATAGCAACACCCGCATCTATTCACGTGGACCAGCCATGGCCAGTGTACAGGCCCCACATATTTTATACTAAGAAAATAGGCTTGGTGAAAGGAGTTACACCCCTCCTCACTCCTCCACCACATAATTTAACTTTGGGCTGTCAGGAGGGAGACGGTAATTATACAGGGTCATCATTGTAACGTTATTTAAATTTCACATCCAACTCCGATAGGACCAGCAAAATAGGTGGAGAGCTTGGAAAACTTCCCAAACAACAAACCAGGGTCATCTTCACCATAGACCAGCATGACATCAACTGAGCTTTAAAAAAAAAAGAAAAAAAAGTAAAAAGAAAGAAATCCCAATTCCTAAATTCAGGGACAAAAATCCATGCTTCGACTTAGATGAAAAAAAAACCCAACACAAAAAAAAACCTAGCAATTAAATACAAGCAAAGGTCACAATTTGTCAGCCTCAGCCTTACCTTGACCTTAGATCGAGACGAAGTGAAGGAGGATACAACAAAGCTGTCCGACTCAATAGCTGCAACTGAGCCGGCAAAGTCCTGGTGCTCAAGGACAGCCAGGGAGGAGGTACCCATGGAAGAGGTACCCAGGGAAGAGTTGGAATTCGCATCCTCTTTCATGTTCTTCATTCGCAGTTGTTCGTCCGCAGCAGCTGAAAGTACATGCAGACAAGTTTAATTTCTCTACTGGCACAATTCAAGATCAGCCAAAAGGGGATGGGATGCTTATAATATTATAATCTGCCTGTTAATGAAGGTACTCCAAAAATCCAAATCCACGAGCACATTTGTTTAAATTTAGGTAGTGTAATGCAGGTTCAAAATTCAGTGGTATCATGGCATTTTGTTGAGCCAGGGTTATAAATTCAGGTTTCCATTCAGAATTTGAACAAGACCTCTTTGATTAAATTTTTTTTTTTACCTTTTTCAAAATCCAATTATTCTGAGCCTGTTTATGAAAATTGGCCAGTTTCTGTAGGAGATGTTGAGCTTTCCAGAGCAGAAAATACACCCAAAAATATGTATCAAAACAAAGAAAACTTAATTGATAAGTTTACAATGACTCAGGCTACATATTTCAAGCGTCACCGCTTGAACCATTAGTCATCGTACTACTTACTATTCTGAGTTGCAAAAGTTCTGTCACACCCATTATGTGTGCGTGCCTAAAGAAAGGTACCAAAAGTCCACACAGACCATTTTGAGCTACAGGCTCATAATGACAAAAAAATCACTTTTGACCAAAATGTGTTTCCATATAAAAAAGATAGCTCTACCCTTTTTTAACAATGAGTTAAAAAAGGAAAAGAGTTTTCATTGATTTGACTTCAAAATATTTTATTTTGAAAATTTTTTAGACTAGGGTATTTTTAAAAGAGAAAATGAAGAAAACTGCTTTTAGAAGGTATTAAAATCTATTCTTGAAGCATGTTTTCTCTTCCCCACTATGTTTAACCACTGAATTCAAATCATGATAGTGATGTCAACTGAATGCCAAATTGGAAATGAATTTTCCATGAATAAATCGATTAGAAATAATAGAATCATATTTTTTTCCCAAGTTTTTATGTATCTAAACTTAGCTAATTTTCTCAAAATTAGATCTTTATTTTACCCTACCTCACAAAATGTGCAATATCTCAAAACCATTTGAGATATCTTCAAAATTAAAAACACCCACTGTGTTCTGCATTGAGTTTCTTATAAGGTACAACCCTTAACTCAAAATCAGACTCTAGGTACCTTTCTTTAGGCACACACACATTGCGATAATTTTCGGTACAGCGTAAGTATTGCAGCAAAAATGAAAAGTATGATTTGTGTGCTTTATGTGCAAGAGCAGACGAACAAAAGCCTAAACCTGAAGTAGTACGTGGGCAAAGTGTTGGTATTGATTTCTCTCATTCTACGTTGAAATCAACGCTTCCTACACACAAAATTTGCTTTGAATCACGCAGACAATGTGTAAACACACCTTACACACTATATAAAATTCCTTACTTTTTAAAGGCTGGCTCGTTTTTTCACCCGTTTCCAAAATAATAAAATTGATAAATGCAGAAAATAAAGGCACTGTGTGCATGATAAATTCTTTAATTGCGCTGTCTGCTGTTGCAAGACACGCAAATGTTTGCAGAAAGACCATCTAACGCTTGAACAAATGTTTTAACACCACTAGGTCCAAGACAAGCCTTGGCATGGCCTACCAAGGGCGACAACTCAACGTCAGAATTGGGTTATTGTCAACACCCATGCTCGAAACCCGTTCCAACTAAATGCAGAGACTGCCAGGTACTTCGGACGGTCTTAAAACACCGATATTAGACATTTATATGATCGTGGATTACATGATTATCGCCCTTTATGTAGATCCATTCTAATTTGGTTTTCAAATATTCAAGAACGTTTATGTATTTTCCCGGGTCTTTCACGGGGTAATATACAGATTTCTTCAAATTCCTGTTGCATTCCGGGTCTCGGCGATTTTTTTCAAATTGTTGGGTAATTCTCCGGGTTCCCGGGGCCTGGCAGTCATTCTGTCATAAATCCAACCACCCCCAAGTGGCCCGAATTGGTGGCTGAAATGTGATGGTATAGGGTGGAATCTTTGCTCTTTACTCTTTATCATACACATTTGATTACTTTTCAAAGCAACCTCAAAGGACGACGGTATTGTGTCGAAATTTGTCGTCACGTTGACTGCCCTACATGGCACAGATAATGGAATATGCTAACAAGACAACGCCTGACCACAAATGGACGCGATCAGTGAAGACTCTTTCCAAACTCATCAAATCATTGTCCTGGACTAGCCTGCAAGATCAACAAGCCTTAACCCAACAGATCATCTGTAAGATGACCTTGACTGGATGATTAGAAACAAGCCGCACTCCCTATAAACTCGCCAGGAACTGAAGGCTGCACGCTGCACTTCACAAGGAATGGCAGGGGATTCCTCAGACAACCAAAAGGTCATTATTTCAGTCAATGAACAGACGTTTTATATCAGTAATTCAAGCTGGAAGAGGCCACACGCACTACTGAGCAAACTTTGATTTGGATTTTGCAAGGGTCAGTGTGAATAAAATTATCTTCCTTGAATAAGGAAAGACATTTGTCAATGCTTTTCATGTCATGTTGGCAAAAAATGAGTAAAGATCATGAGTATCACATTTCTCTTGGCTATGTTGAACAGTAAATGAGCTATTGTACTTTTAAGGTGGGTGTGACAGAACTTTTGCAGCATGGCATAGATCTAGTACCAGATCTGGTATTAGTACTAGCCTACTGCTGTCAACAGGTGATCTACCCCTTTCTCTCATCCCAAACTACCATCACTACAATTATTTTGCACTTCAATATCTGAATCTGAGTTCATTGAATCATATGGACGAGCCATTTTCAATTCATATTGCCATGAGCATATGGTCGACTTGGGCCGTCCGACGTTCAAGACAAAACCCAGAAATAGAACAAAGGGAACCCCTGTTCCAAGAATAGGCAGAACTTCAAGGGAAACTGCTATGAATGGTCAAAGGGATACATACAAGTTACTCTAGTAACTGGGCTATGCCGTTGCCGCATATGTGTCCGCAATTAGTAGAAATAAAGAGGAAAATATGTGCCTGACAGGGCGGCAATGGCGGTGAATACTTATTATTTTCTGAGTGCAGACCTTTTTGAGATCGTGATTTTTCCATAGCATTGAAATACTCATATCAATCTCTGTTTTCTTGATTGCATCAAAACAAAACTATTTTACTATTTACCTATGACACAAGGGGAAAACCCATCATTATGATTGGAATGTTTTTGCAAAACATAGACTCAGCTTTTATCAAAACTTTGGACTTATTATAGTGAGCTAAGAAAAATATCGTGGATAGAGTAGTTACAATTTCATCAATGTTTTTAATTAGAAGGGCAATAAAAAAGAATGTAAAGGATACGAACCAGCTGCCTTCAGCGCAAGTCGCATTCTCTGTTCAGCTTGCTCTGCTGGTGTCTGGAGAAAAAAAAAAGCAGTCGAATAAAAAATACAAGGCAAAAGCTACTAAACAATGAAGCACCTGACCGCTACACCACACACGCCCATGTGCTTATTGCTCCTATACTGTATACCATTTCAAATACAACTTGAAGAAAAAAATAAAACTTTGTGGTACTGCCACAGCAGACAAAAACTTATTCTATCTTTCACAAATTGAAGATCTCTCAGAACAATTTTTGCTCCTACTCAAAATATACAAGATTCCATCAAACCTGCCAAGACAGTCACCAGTACAAATGGCCTCTTTCCATCCCCCCTCCCTCCCCTGTTTTTACTATATAATGGCCCAGCATAAACTGATAACATATTCAGCACAACCATGGCCACTATACTTTATCAACCAACAACCCCCTTAAAACATATGTCTAAAATGGCCATTATCAACTGATGTGCCACCAAGAATTATAAATCTTCCCGATCCATTCACCTGTTGTTATTTTTAATCCTTCTCTAATGAATGAACAGATCATGTTATGTAGGTCCCTATCACCATTTACCCAAGTTGACCAGGCCGGCCCCCCATTACGCTTGCTTCCTAAAAGATTTAAATTTAGACAATGGGGGCATAAATAATTTATGATAAAAAATATATCTTGTCTTACCAAAAGCTCCGTGGGTGCAGTGCCCTCCTGTTCAGATAGAGACAGTCTGAGGAAGAGAAAGAGTCAGCATGTAGTTGACATGGTGTCAGTTCAATGTCCTGCAAAAGGTCAACATTTCTACAGTGGGCTATTTGCTCCAGGTGTCAGAGTAAAATAGAAAGAAGACACATGTACAAAAAGGAATGGATTTACATGTCGATTCATGAACGGAAGAAAGAAAGAAAGAGAGGAAGAAAAAAAAGAAAGAAATACAGTGGGGAGGAAAGTCTAAAATAACCCCAATCAAATATTGATGACTGTGACTCAGTGTGACTTGCGAGATATTTCAAAAGGTAGGCCTACAAAGAAACAAAGGAGAGATACGGGGAAAAGGAGATGCCTTAAAGTAATTAGATCGTGAGATATATTTGACAAAACACGAATGGGAATGAATTATTTCAAAAGAAAGAAAGAAAGAAAGAAAAACAAAGAAAGAAAGGAAGGGAAGGATGATATATATATACTCTTAATGCAGAAGAAGAAGAAGAAGAAGAAGAAGAAGAAGAAGAAGAAGAAGAAGAAGAAGAAGAAGAAGAAGAAGAAGAAGAAGAAGAAGAAGAAGACTAACCCCTTTAGGGCCACATTAGACGGGCTGGCTGTGGAGTGACTGGTGTCGCGGCGTCTGTCAGGGGAAGACCTAATGCAATAGGATTTTGAAAAATGAATTAAAACTACTTAGAAACAGCTATTCTGACACAATCTATGCCAATTCTTACAACATGCTCGAACAAAATAGCCAAAATAATACACAAATTATGAAACCATCCTTGAAAGCAAAAGTTTATCAACCGCTGAAATATTCAAAATTTAGGAAATAAAACAAGATAGATTCTATATACTAATTTAAAAGCTTATTCCAAATTTGGAGGTTAGCCTTTTAGCCAATCAGAAATCACTTTAGGAAGCCCCAAATATTTAGTTGGAAGGCATAAGCAGCAGTTTACTATAGTATATGGTCCTATGAGATCGGCCCTGCCAGTTTCATGGCAGGAAATGGGCCGATTTAGATCGGCCCTTGCCAGAGTTAGGGTTAAACTTAAAGGCTTGCTAAGCAAGTGATAAAAAATTCTGATAAAACCCTAAAAGACAAAGTGCCATCTAGACTATCAGCAGTCATGTACCTTATAGTAATATGCATTTATTAGTAATGTGCCTTTTTGCCTATAGAATGATATTGCACAAAACTCCGGTTCATGCTTGGGCTGACACACTGAGAAATGAATGGGAGAGTGGTTGGCGGTTGCTCTGGTGTGATTTGCTCCTTCTTTGCTGTAAAAAAACTATTGTCCTGATCTCTCTTCCTCTTTTGTGTTTGTTACTCTCTTGTAACATCTCCAATCTTCGGCACTTATACAGTTTATGACCTTATAGCGTAGCAAGTGCCTAAAAACTCTTACTAAAACTAAAGAAATGAAAGGAACATTTCACTTTCTCCACACCTCGCTACAAGTGGCTAAATGGGTCCTTGGCGAACACAAGTTTAATCTTGTCTTGAATTTCATCTTGAGTCACATATGTGAGGCATCGTGGTGAAATCAGGTGCTCGTCAAAATTATGAAATTGAAGAAACTGGCATTTTTCTGCCTGTTTGGCAATTTTTATTGAATTTCTGTTTTTCGGCTTGACACCATTATCGTCCAATTAAGAACACATTTCTGGTTCGATTTTACCAACAAACGCTGATTAAAGGAATTAAAAGTAAATTTTCAGTTTCCACGGACCATTCAAGCTATGGAAATAACCAAACTTTGGCGGCCATTTTCTCGCTAATTCTGCCTTTGAAACCAGGTGGCCCCACCTTCTTCAATCTTAAATATCTTGATTTCTATTCAAGATAGAAGAGCACTTTTTTCACCAATAGCAAGATATAACTGAACAAGTCTTAAGATGATACCAATAACTCCACATGCCGAAAAATTGACAAGCGCCTGATTCTACCAAGCTGCGACACACATATCATACATTTATTTCAAATTTTGCAGCAAAGTGGGAGTGTGAACTGAAGTAGATTGGTAACTACGATCAGATTAATATTAGAAACAGTGGTTGTATTACAAATGATAAAAAGCCAAAATTTTCAATAGCATTAAATCCAGGAAGAGCATACCCATGACTTGAACAGATCAGGTTACACTGCTAGTCTCACCTTCTCGAACCGGTTCTTCCGGCAGACCTTGACCTCGACCGCCTGTCCCTTGAGTATGACCTTGAGTGCCTTCCTCTGGACCGAGACCGCCTAGACTTTGAATGGGCTGGGGAAATCTGACGTCTTCCGGAGGGACTTCTAAGGAAAGAAAATGAAAGAAAAGCAACCTGTTATATTGCCCTCGTGAGGAAAAAAGGTACGTACGTGGTGTTTGCCTATCAGCAAGCCCCTTGAGAAGCAAGTCTTTGTTGCTGTTTGGCAGAGGTTGCTGTTGACTGAATTTTCAAAATAGGGAAGGAAAGAAGGGGAGGGGGTGGGGGTGGGGGGGTGGGGGAGGGAGTAATCTGCACCAACAGGCACACACATCATTCTGGAATGGAAGGGGGCTCTCATGGTCTTGAGGTACGGCGTTCACCTCTCATTCAATTATTTCAAAAGATGTATTGGATGTGGTGGTGTAATTCACAAAACAAAACAAAACTGTCAGCTGTTTAGACACACCAAAGGTCGAGGCCCTCCCTGTCACAAAAGTCTACGAGGCGTATCGCAGCCAATTCACTCTTATCTTTAGGGCTTCTATTTCTATATATAACGAAAAAATATGACATCTATTTTTCACCTTGACCTTCGCCGACTCCTTCGACTTGGGGATCTCGAATGAGACCTCGCTCTACTTGAGGCATATCTGTCAGTACTGCGAGACCTGGCCGCCAGACAAGAGAGAAAGACTCAATAAATAACAAAGGCATTTGAACATGTCCCTAACTTCAGCTGGGAAAGGATTCTGTTATGTACATACATACATCTTCTTACAGACAAAAAGTACACTGTAACCATGCACCTTTGATGTAATGGTTATGCCAGAAATGACAGCAGTCTGTAGTATAACGGTGAGGCTCTTTACCTTGCTTGCAGTTTTTGTATTAAAAAGTTAAGACGTAAATGCAGACCCCACGTGGAGAAGATATATTTAAAATCAAGCACAGTCAAACCTGTCCCACTGACCACTTCTCTCCAAAACAATCACCTGTCAAATGATCAACCCCACACCCATTTATATTTTTCTATATATAATGACACTGACAGAGAAGACAACCTGTTTAAGATGACCTCTTTTCTCTTCAACAAAAGGGCAGTCTGCATTTCAGTATTTCTGCAAGGCCTGGCTATCCCCAACAAGGACTGAAGCAGTCCATCTTATTTTTCTTAAGGGGAGACGTACACTCCCGGAAAAATTTTCTAAACGAATGACTTTTATTCAATTTCATGTAATTGTGCGAGAAGTTCATAGGTAAATAGGATGTACTAGGGGTGAATATGTTGAATTTTTCTAAAAAATGGGTCTCTGTGGCGGCCATCTTGGATTTTCAAACCAGTTTCTTAGTGCAGAAGAATTTCATAGTAAATATTGAATTATCAGCCTGAAATTTGGCACACAAGTACAAACCTGTTATGTAAGGGAAATAATTAGACCTACACGTGGTTCATTCCCTTAGCAGGACATTGGCTATTAAGTTGTTCCCCTTTATAGAAACACTTCCTTGTTGTTTATTATGTCACTTTCATATCATAATATGTCATGTTAGTACAGTGGAATCCTGTTATAACGAGAGGGAGAGGACTGGAGCAAAATGTCCGTTATAGCAGGATTCTCGCTATAAGGGATCCAGTAATAAATTCAAGGGAAACTGTAAAGTAGGCCTAATCTATGAGTTTGGTGTTCTGTTTATTTCCTTTAGCTATCTCCCCTGATGATGATTTTGTTTCAACACGACCTCTAGGTCTTACTTGATCAAAAATCGAATGAGGTTTCTTTCTCTAGCGCTAGATCTAGCGATGTTGACTGACAGCTCAGCGATGGGGATCAGAAAGAAAGGGCTCTAGGGTAACTCACCCGCTGTGTTTTCCCCCACCCCACCACACCCTGTTGTGCATTCCGTCAGCTTGTGCATGTCACACATTCACTCCATCCATCACATTGCTGTGACCTTTCCATCCTCGCATCGGAGAAGTGAGAGGCTTGGTAGGCGTAGATAATCTAAACTAGGCTTACGCTGGCCCATCATGCGATGCGTTCTGCTTGTCTGCGCATGCCACATCCTCCCTACTCAGTCGATCCGGTCTTCATTGTTGACACACATGGCCTCTCCCATTCTTTGTTTCGCTAGATCACCAACTAGTTTCTCAACTGGCGAGGTTTTACATTAGACCCATGCACTGCGCGCAGCAGCCAGCAATATTCCGCTATAACCGACTCGCGTGTTTGTCTGATAGCGCTATAGCAGTATTTTATTTACAAAGGGAAAGAAGAGAAAAAAACGGGGTTTTAGAATAGTGTCTTTATAACAGACTTCTCGTTTTTTCCGGACTCGTTATAAGTGGACTCCACCGTATTTCATATTCTTTGCCACCGTTTACCATTAGGCTGGTGTTGTATTATTTATTCTATGTGAGAATGACTGAGACGTGTGAGTGTCAATTATTAATGAAGGCATGTATTCTGTATCATGTAAATAATCTAACATGTGCAGATATTGTTCCTTTTACATATTGATCATGAATAAACTGCCTTGTTATGTTCGACCCAAGGCGAGACTCCTGTGTTCCTGATTGATGTTCAAGTTTGCTGATACAAGTTTCCTGATAAAACCTACAAGACTTAACAAAACCTATATGAACCAGGGATCCATGTAAGGATTTTGACCTATCTTTAAACTAAAAAAGTGAGCCTAAAGTCATTGGACCCCCTAGAGTCAGTTGACGAAATTTTGGGTCATATTACAAAAAAATTGAATATTTCCTCAAGTTTCCAATATTTCCCAATTCCCTTTCATAGATCCCCAGAATCGATCTTAAAGCACCTGTACACCAAATTGGAAGCTTCTAGCTTCTGTAGTTTTTGAAAACTCCTTGTACCCAGGAAGTCACATATGTCAAAAAGTAGATTTTGAGAAAAACAGAAAAAACAGGGATTTTTTAAAAGGATTTTTAGAGCAATTTGCACTTTTCATACGCCCTTTTAAGTCATTTAGGGTGTTTTTTTCAACAGTTTCTTCATTTTGACTCGATAGAACAGATGTCAAAGGATGTTTTTCTGCAAAAAACAAAAGTTGGATAGTTTGAAAAATTGTATCGGTACTACCTGGGATCGCCGACCCGGGTCTTCCCTTATGGTCTCAATATTATGTTGATAGTAGTGTAAAACATTTACAACCGTATCTGGGAACATCATCATCATCATCCGGTGCCTTGCCGACTGGCGTGGGCGATCATGGACCTCCACTTCCATCTGTCTTTCGATGCAGCAATGGTGTCTGTTGTTCTTGCTGCTCCCAGCCATGTTGTCATCTTGTCCAGTATCTTTTCCCTCTGTCTGCCTCTGCCTCTCTTTCCATCAAACTTTCCTGTTGTTACAATGTTCTCTAATGCTTCTTTCCGCATTGTGTGTCAGAAAAAAATTGCCTGTCATTTTCTTATATTCGTGATAAGTTGTTTTCTATAATTTGTTTCAACCAGGACTTCTTCATTTGTTTTTCTAGCTGTCCATGGGATACGTAGCATGCGTCTCATGAACCACAACTCTGTCGCTACAATTGCTCTTTCCAGCTGTTTAGTGATTGTCCACGCTTCGCACCCGTATAATAGGATTGGCTCGATGTAACTTTTCATTACTTTTTTCCTCATTTCCAGTGACAGATTGATGCTTGTTAGTATCTGTTTCATCTTGTGGAAGGTTACTTTTGCTTGGCAAATGTGGCTTTTAATTTCGGTGTGACATCTACCATCTGATGATATAATGGTCCCCAAATATTTAAAATGTTGTACTTGCTTGAGGGTGGTATCATTGATTTTGATATTGCATGTTGGGATTGGAGTATTTCTGCTTATCACCATCGTTTCGGTTTTCTTGATGTTTAGGCTTAAGCCCATGTTGTCACTCTCTTGTACGAAGACATTTAATAGATCCTGCAGGATCTGGGAACATACATTTCCACAATTTTCCATAAAGTACAGAATCTACCATTCAGTGCATAGTTACATCCCCTGTGACCTGAGACATAATAGATTCCTTGGCCAGATAGATATTTCAAGTATATTCATAGTCCTTCTAAAAAAAATTAAATGTGTCAAATGCGGTGGAATCAGGTACTCGTCCATTTTTGGTCATGTGAAGTTATTGTGGTATGATCTTAAAGATTGTTCATTTGTCTTTCTTTCGATAAAACAAATATCCAGTTATCTTGAAAACAAGTCAAGATATTTATGATTGAAGGAGGCAAGGGTCGCCTGGTTTCAGAGGTAAAATTAGTGGAAAAATGGCCGCCATAATTTAGTTATTTCCTTAGCTTGAGAGTTCATGGAAACAGAAAAGTTACACTTTTTGTACCTTTAATCAATGTTTCCAGTGCTATCCACACAGGAATGTGTTCTTTGATGGACATGAAAGCCAAAAAATAAAAATTCAATAAAAATTCCCAAACCTGCGGAAACATAACCAGTTTATTAAGTTTCATTATTTTGACGAGCGCCTGATTTCACCATGTTGCCTCACAAATATTAAAAAATTGGATACTGTTCTTATCTACTATATAAGACACACATATTCATACATAATTTGATATTTCACTCTCTTCAGTTTTTGTACAAACCTTGATCTCCGAGTACGCCCCTCTCCCGGTCGTCGCCTGTCAGTTGACCGACTGCGACTCCTAGACGACCTCTTGTGCTTCTTTCTAGACTTTTTGGTCTTTGAGCTGGAGTACCTAGACGATTCACTATCACTGCTTGACCTATGAACAGAGCAATACCATACAAAATTTTGATGAAGCATTTCACATCATCATAAGACTCGCAAATTTTAAATAATTTTCCGCAAAAGTTCGGGAAAATAATAATAAAATTTCGTTAATAACTGAAACCACACCTGCCATTAAACCCGATTTAATCGGGATTTATCTCAATTTTTTTGCCCAAATCTCAAGCATCCCGATTTCGATCACGTGCATCCTGATTTTTTGTTCCAGTCTGTTGCCCCGGATTTTCTCACCGTCTTCTTCTCTGTCGCAGGAACCACCTGTTGGAGCTTTTTGTCATTAGAAACTTGCAGCATTAGTTTCCTAAATATCGATGCCGGATTAAGTAGTTGGGTTTGATCTTTGCCAGCACTCGGAACCCTCTGATGATAGCTTAATAACTGTTGCAGTTGCGACATACAAATAATCGATAATATTCGTAGTTCTGTTGTTACTTTCAAAACAAGCCTCGTCCAAGGTCTAGTAACTGCGCGTTCACATCAAACACTCAGATGAGCGACAGCTGCTCCAACCCTTACACAACTAACTGCGCTGACTAAATTAACACTTGGCCAATGTCGTTGCATTGGTCTGAATGCATATATATATATGAGGGACAAGAGATTTGTTGGTACATTTGGTCGGTCGGCCGATGTCGTTAGCCTGGAACGACTGTCTGAATGTTAGGTGGAAATGAGCAGTTAGACGAGACCATCAGTAAAACTGTTTCAATTCAATCTCGTGTTCACATCACGTGACATGACTTTGTTAAGGTAGCGTCAATTGCCACTGAGTGATGCGGTGGCAATTGACAAAAATTGACTTTTTTCAATTGCCACCGGGTAAAGCGGTGTCAAGTCTGAAAACAATCTTTAGCATTATACATGAATGTGAGTCTAATGGGTCAATTTGTTCTCAACTAATTTCATTGGACGAGCATCTAGTCTAATGGGTCAATTTGTTCTCAACTAATTTCATTGGACGAGCATCTAGTCTAGAGCTTCAGTACCAACTTGGCGTGTTTTCAATGAGACGTAGGCCTAGATCTAGGCTTGCCTTAGCCTACACTTTGGTGTAGAACCAACACAGGCAATTCTAGAAGTAGGTCACAAACGCACACAAACTCAAGCAGAAATTCATGTTATATCGGGGAACATAAATTGGGGGACGGGGGTCAGGAAAAGACACACACAAACACACACACTGGGGGCTCTTTTGTGGCCTAGAGTCTTAGAGGTTAAGGTGTTGGCCTCTCATTCAAAAGGTCCCGAGTTCGAATCCAGGTAGCGACAGAAAAATTTTCTTCTCTAAAATTGTCTCCTTTCACCTCCTTTCCTGCTCTCTAGCAATGTTCTGTCGTCTGCTTTCGTCTCCTCTTTCTGCCCCCACCCCTTCACCTCCTTTGCCCCTTCCTCTACTCTGGGCTCCTGATTTTTTCTTTCTGCAGCCTTTCTACTGCTACTCCTTCGCTTCTTCTTACTGATGTCTTTCTGCCACACCCCTGATCTTCTGGTAGAAAAGATCTACACCTAGACTTCTCGGACAAGGGCGAAAAAATCTCGGAGGGCCTGTGTGCAAGTTGCACACGTTAAAGATCCCTTGGTGGTGTAAATTAGAGATGTGCTCAACAAATCCTGCATTGCATAAATGCTAGCCTCGAAACTAGATCAATGATTTAAATCTGTCTGTCTAGATCTAGATCTAGGCCATAGATCTAGAAGAACCTAGTTCTACCCTGAGCCAAGAGGGCGCTGAAACTTTCCGAAATCACGAAAGAGTTACCCTACCGGGTCTGTATACTTTGTGACTTTATTCCCGGTTACCGGGTCTGTATACACTCCCTTGAATTTGAATATATCCAGTCGACGATGCATAGAGTTTCATCCCGATATAGATATTAGATCTAGAATCTAGATCAGGCTAGGCGTGGCCGGAATTAAACGTGAAAAGGTAAACAATAGCAAAAATCTTACCTGGATCGAGAACGAGCTCTTCTTTTCTTCTTTTTCTTCGCCTTTCTGTAATCATCGTCACTATCGTCAGAGCGGTATTTGCCCATAATTTGAGCTCAAGCTCCGGGGAATAAGACTCCCCTCTTCAACTTGTGTAAAAGTAGCCCCTGCTCAGGAAGCCTTGGTTTTTTATTGAGATCGAGGTCTTACCAACACTGAGACTGTTTAATTCTAGTTTCGATTCCAAAACAAATGCGAACGAGCGTTTTGCATGCGACAGAAAGAGGGAACATTATCGGTTTTGTGTTCTTGCATTTATCGGTAATTTCCAGCTTTTTAATGCCTCTCATGCCGGTTTGGGTTGAAAGTTTTGATCGGTAGGCCTAATCATCAAGAAGCTTTGGTACACGCCACATTGTTACTAAAATCAGAAGACTACAATAAGGTTCAAGGTTTACAATTTATGCAATGCAGGATTTGTTGAGCACATCCCTAATTTACACCAAGAGCGTGTAATTAGGGTTGTTTTTGTTTTAGAAATGTTGCAAATACATGTACATGTAATTAGAAATGCACATTTGAAATCCTCCTGGCCAGGAAACTGGAAATCCTAAAAATCCGTGCTTGCCTTGTTTGTAAACAAAACTGAAATTCGAAGAAAAACGCTTCCGCGTTGATAAACAAGGACGTCATGGACTGGTTTTCTCTCCGTTTGGCAGAGTTTCGTGAAAGGAGAAGGCGCCGTGCCATTGATGAAAGAATACGACATGAAAAGAATTCCATGGACTCGGAGAATGTGACCAGACAGAATTTTATTCTACTGGGTATGGCATAATATTACATTTTAATGTTTAGGCCTACGTCCCCCCCCCCCCCCCCCTTTATTTTGGTAACTGGTCATTTCGTCACGGAAGAGTCTAGCCGTACTTATGACGGCTATGACGGCTAGCCGTACTTATTCTTAATATGATGGCTAGACTGACCATTAAAAAAAGGGTGACCTTATTTAGGCCACATATGGCCTAAATAAGCTAAATCCCCCTCCCTTACCTTATTTAGGCCACAGTCACTGTGACCTAAATAAGCTAAACCCCCCTCCCTTACCTTTTTTAGGCCAGCCTAAATAAGCTACCCCCCCCCCCCCTCCCTTACCTTATTTAGGCCACATCTTATTGTAGATTTCTTGAACTAACCATGGATTAGGAAGGTTGAGATTCTACTGATCTTTTTATTTAGTGCGGGGGATTATTTCAAAATAGAGGATGATACTAAATGTAAAGTGGACCAAGGGAAAGAGTTGTGTGTCTGTGTGTGTGCGTATGTTTGTGTGTGTGTGTGTGTGTGTGTGTGTGTGTGTGTGTGTGTGAGTGTGTGTATGTGTTTGTTTTGTGTGTGGTTGTGATGAGAGAGATATATATATAGAGAGAGAGTAAATGTAATAGTGTGTTTGTTTGTATGTGTGTGTGTGTGTGTGTGTGTGTGTGTGTGTGTAATGTGTGAATGTTATTGTGTGCATCATGCATGAGTGTCTATCTCAGTTGTACGGTCCAAATGTACATTATTTTGTTGAGAATTTTACATAGAACTCAACTACAAAACACCTTTATACAAAGTCATAGAAATATTCTTTTTGTGCTTATTGAGGTACAGTACAGGGTGATTTTACATGCAAGGATAATTGGACAAAATGGGCAATATCTTTATTGCTAATGGTCATATTTAGACAAATCCTATATCATTCTCTTTTTTTTTCTTTACTGCTCATGGTTAAGAGTAAGCCAACTAGATCAAGGTAGTAATTTCGGATTCTTAATATTATGGGCATTCTTAAAATTTTTAAACTTGTTTTTAGAGCTTTTCTCAAAGTAAAACGGATTCCATTAAAAAACCAGCAACAATGACCTTATCTTTCTTTTTCAAAGTATTGTGCTTACATTTGTGTGAAACTATATATTCTATGCTTTCAAGTACATGAAAAAAGCTAATAAAGTCAAGCAAAATGTTCTTCAGAGACATAGATCTAGTAGTAGGCCCACTGGAACATTTTATAAACCGTGAAAAGATGACCAGAAAATAACAAAATTATCTTATAATCTTCACTTGCACTTGCAATTTTTTTGACAAATTATAGTCTACCTCCTCATCTTTTTTTTTTTTTAAACATTTTTTTTTCACTATTAATGACAATTGGCATGTATTGTTTTCAGTTATTATCAAGGAAGTGGATATAGGCGGAACACGGGGTCTATCTAGCCAAAAGGATAGGTGGACCCCGGGGTCTACCTAACTAAATGCTAGGTTTTAGGATGTGAACCCCGGAGTCAGTGTAGTGAAATAAGCAGATCTAGGTTTAACTAAGGATCAGTGGACCCCGGGGTCAACATAGTGAAATAAGTAGATCTCAGTTTATTTTATATTGGGACTGGCGGAGCCTGTGGTCAACGTAGTGAAATTATAAGTAGATCTAAATCTAGGTTTAATTAAGGATTGGTGGACCCCGGGGTCAACATAGTGAAATCAGTAGATCTAGGTTTAATTAAGGATTGGTGGACCCTGGGGTCAACGTAGTGAAATAAGTACATGTAGATCTAGGTTTAATTTTAATTTTAAGGATTGGTGGATCCTGGAGTCAACGTAGTGAAATAGGTAGGTTTAAGGTGAACCCCAGGGTCTACCTAACGAAATACTAGTTAGGTTTTAGAATAGGTGGAACCTGCGGTCACCGTAGTAAAATAAGTAGGTTTAATCAAGGTGTGTCGGGGGTCCACCAATCCTTAATTAAACCTTCTTATTCCTCTACGGCTATGGTGACTCCGGGGTCCACTAATCCTTTTAAAACTAACCTTACTTATTTCACTACGCTGACCCCGGGGTCCACCAATCTTTAAAGAAAGCTACTTATTTCACTACGGTGACCCCGGGGTCTACCTGTTCTAAAACCTAGTATTTCGCAAGGTAGACCCCGGGGTTCACCAATGCTTACTTAAACAAAACCTTATTTCACTACGGTGACTCCGGGGTTCACATCCTAAAACCTAGTATTTCGCTCCGCAGACCCGGAGTCCACCTATCCTCTACAGGACTAAACTATTATCAATTTGCAATTTTCATTGATTAGCATATTTAAAAAAAATATTGAATCAGAGACTCGCTGTCTAAAAAGCCCACTGCTAATGCTATTCTTATCAAAGAAAATGGCACAATTTGATTTTGTCATGTTAAAAAAAAAGAGTTTTAAAAATATCCCGAAAATAACATAAAATGATTATATAGATCTCTCTCTCTCTCTCTCTCTCTCTCTCTCTCTCTCTCTCTCTCTCTCTCTCTCTCTCTCTCT